TTCCCCATAGTGACCCCTAGAGGACGCAGTTCGAAGTTCCCATGAAAGGGAACGTCTCTGGTTACTTATGTAACCATGGTTCCCTGAGTAGGGAATGAGCACTGCGTCCTCTAGGTTTTCTCGCCATGCTGCGGACGCAAGCTTCAGACGAAGAAGTGAATGACATGTTCTCCCGGCGCCTATTTATACTATAGTTGCACCGGTAGTGACGTCATGGCTGTCACCGGCCAACGAGTTGGTGTTTTTTCAATGTATGCTTCAGACACGGGTCACGACGAGGAGTTCCCCATAGCGACCCCTAGAGGACGCAGTGTCTCGTTCCCTACTCAGGGAACCATGGTTACATAAGTAACCTGAGACGTTTCTCATCTTCTTTACAAGTCTTCATTTCATTCACCCGCTCTGCTATTCAAATCACAATGCATTAGCGAGCAGCGGCTGTAAGAATGTGCTGATATCCTTTGATAGCTGCCCCGTCACCCCACTCCCTCCTGTTTTCTTCCCCGCTTTTGTGTCTCTGTGAACTTGGCCTCTTTGGAGGCCCACACAAAAGCGTCCTGAGGAGCGAGGGTCTCGCGCCACACACAGAACGCAACCCACCGACTCAGTGTGAGACCAAAACACCGGTCCACGCTCATTCACTTGCACAAATACATCACACAATAAATTAACGCCAGTTTTTTTCATTAGATTGTACAGATGCTTTGCATCAGTTGAACTCGATGCCCCCAGAAGAACAGTGGTGCCAATAAACTTCCAATAAACGGCTTTATTAAAGGTAAACTAATTTAGGAATGGATTTGGATATGCCTAAAATTATTTGTAGAATTAAATTAATGTTGTATTTTCAAGATGCGTGCACTACTGTAATGGGTGTGTAGAGCTAGGACTCTGTGGTTAATATCACAACTAAAGAGGCTGTAACATAGCAGACATGCTCTTTCTCAAATAATATATAGTCGTACTAGTAGATAGCAATGCAACCAATTCTCTCTAAACTTGTCCAACAAGTCCAGCTTAAACCAGACTTAGCTGGTTGTCACATTTAGACAGACAGACAGACAGATAGACAGACAGATAGACAGATAGATAGATAGATAGATAGATAGATAGATATTATTAGCAGCATTTGAAACAGTGGTCAGAGCACTTATCCAAGTTTTGGATAAAACAAAAAACCAAGCAGTCATAAACAAAGGCTAAACTCTTGTGAAAACTTCCTACTTTGTTTCCTTGGCTCTGACCCCATTCATCCCACCCACAATGCCCTGCTGGAATTCCTAATGGGTGGGTGGGTGAACTCAAGGGGAGGGTTGTGGGGAGGTTAGAAGGGGGTCCCAGCAGAATTCCACCATAGAGATCCCAGCCAATGGATCTAGATTGGAGAGGAGGAGACAAGAGGAGGGGGGTCTTTAGATTTGGGCAGGGCTTTGCTAGCTGAACCTTATGGACATGGTACACCAAAGACAGCGTGTTCACACACACTGCGAAACACAGACCCATCAAAACCAATTATGGGTGACTGGGGCGTCCAAAGAGACCATGGACATAGGATAAAATTGGGGTCACAGAAAGAGTTCAGTGAGGCCGTTCCTGGAACCAATAGGTTACAGAGCACCTCCTGTAGCTTTTTGTCTTCCTCAATCCATGTTTGTCTTTAAAACGCCTTTCCATTAAGAACAAATGTGTCATGAAGAATCACTGCTAGATTAAAGAAAATGGAGGAGGGTGGATTTAATAAGATCTTGAAACGAACCGTCCAGCCCGGGGTCGTCACATGTGGTTGCCGCAAGCCCTCCGGACGCTCCTTCGTCGAATCCGCCGCCTCTGCTCACTCTAGGCCACCGTGTGTGAAGCTGTGTTTCGTTGTGAAAGCGAAACTACTTTGTTTGGCCTTCCAAAAATGGACA